TTCGGAATTAGAAGCCCTATTTCTAAGGGCCCCAGGACACCTGCCAAGAGACTGCAGAACCAGTAGACTGGTTTCTTATTTAGCCCATTTCTCCTACTCAGTACTTAAAGGTAGCCCACTCCACAGAGAGCCATCTCCATCCTCAGCCCTGAGCTCACAGGGCTGAGCCAGGCACATCTCCAGCAGCTCACAACTGGTAGAAGAAATAAGAGTGGGGCCACATGGCTTCAAAACAAGATAGGTGAGGCCTGTGTTGTTGGGGATGTAGCTCAGTGGTGGAGCACTTGCTTAGCATGTGTGAGGCCCCCAGCTCAGCCTCAAGTACTGCAAATAACAAAGAAAGGAAGAAAATGCCTGCATCTTAAAAAAAAAAAAAAAGATAAAACACAGTTCCTTGTGGATTAAAATAAGTGGACGTGAATTCACTTTAGTCAGATCAGAAAACGCCTTGTAAGCCAGGCATGGTGGTACACACCCATAATCCCAGCATTCAGGAGGCTGAGGCAGGAGGATCACCATGAATTCAAGGCCAGCCTGGGCTACATAGTTCAAGACCAGCCTGAACTACATAGCAAGACCCTGTCTCAAATAAAACAAAACAAAACAAAAGAAAAAGGAAAAAGAACCAAGGGAAGAAAGTGAAGGAGGGAAGGAAGGAAGGAAGGAAGGAAGGAAGGAAGGAAGGAAGGAAGGAAGGAATAAGAATAAATAAGGAAGGAAGGCCTTGTGCAGTGACCTTGAGCCCATCTTCCAAGGGCAGGTACAGTACAGGCAGGCAGGGAAACAGTGTGAGGAGCAGTACAGGGAACTCTCCCCACACCCTCTCATCCTCCTGTGAACATTGCTTGTGAGCCAGAGCAGGGATGGAACCTGCCTGCTCATCCTGGGGAGGATTTCTCAAGCAGAGACTCCTGCTTCAGCCTCCCAGCCAAGGCAACAGAACTTGGCTTCCAGTAGGCTTTCCAGAAAACTTGCTGCAGAAGTCCTGCCCTGAGTGGGATGGGCGGTGTTTTGGGGGAACTCCTTAGAGAAAGTGGGCTGGGGCCGAGCTGCAGGGCTGCCCCTTAGTGTCTCACCTGAGACAGTGTGTTGGCAGGGAGCAGCAGGGCCTGCGTATCCTCTGCACAGGTGGCTGCCTGAACCAGTTGTGAGTCCACCCCCACTTGGGCCGTTCCTTCCTCCCCTCACCCCCTGCCAGTGTTCGCGTGCCCTGTGCCGGGACAGCTGAGGTGTCCAGAGTGCAGGTGGAGGGGTTGGAGGTGAGGTCAGAGGCAGGGACAGAGTGGATCACACAGGCCTGGCCGTGCTTTCAGACTTCATTATATTGGGTCATCCTGGTGCTGTGAAAACAAAAATAAGTAAGGCAAGGACAAAGCCAGGGCCTCTGGGAGGTCTCCCTAATCGGGCAACACTTGCACTGAGACCTGTGTGAAACAAAAGTGCAAAGTCCATAAAAGTATCCAGGAAAGAGCATCCTGGGAAAGCGAGTGGCACATGCAAAGGCCCTGTGGTGGGAACATGCCCATCATGTTTGAGGAACAGCAGGGAGATCAGGATGGCTGGAGTGGACGGCAGGTGCAGACATGGGAAATGGGGTTGAAAGAGTAGGTGGGGCCAGGTCAGATGGTCAGGTGTTACTCTGAGCAGAGCAGGAGCCACAGGGGCCTTGAGAGCCGAGGACACCCAGGACTAGGAAAGGTGGCAGAGGGACCAGCATGACAGTGGGATACATCGCTGCCCAGCATGGCAGTGGGATACATCCAAACCCACTTCTGTTTAGAGCAAATTTCAGGGGACTGGAAGGACCTCCCAGATGCCCTGTCGGGATGGACCCCCAAAGGACGGCAGGGGATGAGGACTGGTCCCCCTTCCGGGGGAGCCCAGGGGCAGCAGCGCCTGTCCAGGGCGGGAGGATGTTCTCACTGCCTCAGAGGAAACGGCACATCCCACATCAAAAGGGGGCCCTGGGCGCTCCCACGCTCAGCCTCGTGGGAACTCTGCTCCCCGGTGTTCTCGCAGGGGTGGGGCTGCAGCTTGAGAGAGGCTGGGGGCCACCTCAGAATCGTGCCCCTAGCTCCCAAGCACCACCGTCACACCCCACTCACAACCCTCTTCCCCGCACCCAGACTGACACTTACAACCCAGGGCTCTGTAGCTTTTAAGAGGTTCCAGACATTTTAGGGCAACGACAATCTCAGACAGCCCTATTCCGGGCTCCTCCCTCCCCAGTTCCCAGGGTAGAGGCCCAGGAAGACCAGGGACTTGGAGCATTACATAAACCTTGGGTAGAAAATTGGCTTCGCTGATTGAAGAGGCCCCCTGGAGAGCTGTGTTGTGGGATTCTGCTCAGCCTGAGGGCTCTGTGGTGGATTAGTGATGTCTGCCACTGGTAGACAATGGACAGCAGTGGCATGTGTGCTAAATGTTGTTTCTGCCCACCCATTTCACAGATAGTTCTGAATAGAGGGAGGAATGTTTTCTTCAGGAAGGAAGGAAGAAGAGTGGGTGGGGAGAACAGATGTGCTAAGGATCTCAATCCATGTGTCTCTTACTGGGGGACAGGGCCAGGAAGAGGAGGAGCTGGAGGAAACAGCTTCTGTACTGTCCTACAAAGTATGGGGAGAGAAGGTAGCAGGATAACCTTCTCCAGGAAGCCCCAGGAGATTTGACAGAGCCACGGAGGCTCAGATGGACACTCCGTGCCACAGGCTGCAGGAGACAACCCACACATCTCCCCTCTCAGCCCCAGACCCAACCACAAACTTCACCTGTGTTAACTCATTTACGCCTCACAAGACCCTTCCCCATGACGGACAGGGAAACGGAAGCACGGCTCCTCCACTGCCCAGGTCCCGAAGGGCCCAGGGCCCCTGCCCTCCTCGCCCACCTCCCTTGGGAGCTGCAGGCAGCGACTCCAGGTTACCAACCTCTGGTGGCCTGGCCCCTGGTGCTGCCTCCAGGCCCGCAGGGCCTCCCGTCTGGGGCCAGCAGTGTAAGTGGCTGAGCCGATGCGCTGTGCTCATGTGCAGCCTGAGGGCCGCCTAGTCATGTGTGTTGTGTGTGCGAGCACATCCCTGCGCACAGTGTGACTTAGTGCGACTCTGTGTCCCTTTTGCAGCCTGTGGATGCTAATGCTTTCACTGACGCCAAGCACCCATGGCTCGACATGGCCGTCTGCTTTTCCTGTGTGTGTCAGGATGGGACACACAGGATGTGGACATGTATGCATGTGTGTGTGCGTGTGTGAGATGTTCTGCAGGTGTGTGTGTAAGCCCTATATGTGTGTGGGGGCTGTGTCCCCTGCAGAGTGGGGAATGCATGTGCCCCTTTGTGTGGTGATCTCTGGACATGAACACCTGTATCTGGGTCCGATCTGTGTGTTTGTGGGCAAGGGGTGTTTCCTGGATGTGTCTGTGTGCATCCATGTGTATGTGTGTGTGTGTGTGTGTGTGTTATGCATACCCTGGCGTGTGCAGCGTCTTCCCTGAGCATGTGTGTGTCTGTGTCTGCATGGGGAAGGGGGTTCTGTGGTAGGTGGGTGCATGGGTCTGCTGTGTGTTCCCTGGGAGAGGGTTTTGCGAGTCTCCGTGCAAAGTGCGCAGTATGTGCGTGGTCTTCTCTCTCTCTGTGCATGCGGTGTGTTCCCCAAGCACATGTGTACTCGTGTGCCTCAGACATGCTGTGTCCGTGCTGCTGGACCTGCCCCGGGGAACCACAGCCTGCCAAGGGGACCATTTGCTTGAAGATGCACCAAGGACAACTGACCAGGCAGCACTGGCCAGTCAGGCCTTAGAAGGCAGAAAGGCCCAGGGAGGCCACCAGCACAGGCCTATCCCCCACACCCACTGCTGGGGCATCTCCAAGCCACTGTGCCACCCCTAAAGTTCAGAGCCTTCATGTTTTCCCAGTCGATCCAGCCAGGGCGCCAGCCCCACCCACAGCGAGACACCACGCACCTGCTCCTACCTGTGCCAAAGTCATAGAGGCCCAAGGACACTAGGTTCAGTCCCCCCAGTACCCTGCTATTGCCCCACTTTGCAGAGAGGAAAACTGAGGGTCAGAGGGCTTGGTGACTTGCTGTGGCCAACACTGCAACACATCTATGATTTCCTCTCTAAGATGGAGAGAAGTCACACCACACTTGGTGGCCAGACACAGAGCAGGGGCATTGCACAGTCAGGAGACACAGCTGACAGCAATGATGCTGATGATGACGCTGATGATGGGGGTGGTGGTGATGGTTTTGGAGTCTGTCAGGTGCTAGAGATTGTGCTCAGCTTTAAGTTGCAAAACTTTACTGAATCTTCACAACAAACCAAAAGAAGGTACCACATCATCTCCGCTGTACAGTGAGGGGGGGACAGCTAACAAGAGGCGTGATGGCGGGCTGGGTGTCACCAGCTGGTTAGCGGTTGAGCTGAGATAGGGCAGCAGCTCTGGCTGGCCAGAAGATGCGTTTTCATTCAGACAGGGGACAGTGCCTCAGGCACGGGAACTGATGTCAGTGAATAGTGCAGAGCAGGGAAATGACATCATCAAAGGCCTCGGAAAAGCGATTTTACTCCTGCTGACTCTGTCCTTACACAGGACTTGTCAGAGCCTTTATTTATTTATTTTTTGGTCAGAGCCTTTAGTGTTCTCACATATGCCATGAATGTCCACAAGGGGGACGGAAAAGTGTCTCCTAATTGTTTTGATCCCTGAGTTCTTCTTTCCCAGAATGATTTATGAGGATTAATGCTCCAAGCTGAGAGCAAACTTAGCAACTGAGAGCTACTAAGTGAAAGCTGCTAAACCACGAATCGTTGGGTTTTAGGTACAGGGGCCAAATGGGGCCAAAAGGTCCTGCCTAAGGGGAGGCCGGGTATCCCCCTGGGTCCTGCCCACACCCCGTCCCACAACAGGGTGCCACGTTAGGAATGGGGTTTCTAGATGACAGACAAAGAGATGGAGACGTGCCGGGGGCTGGCGTCCAGCTTCCGCCTCCTCTATCCCTGCAGGGTCCCTGCGCTCCCAGTGAAGAACTTGAATGGTACCGGCCCGGTCCACCCAGCCCTGGCAGGTGAGATTCGCCTCAGGACCGGAAAGAAAGGCGGGGCGCGAGGAGGCAACCCTGTCCTTCAGGGTTTGACTCCGCCCCCTGGCGAGTGGTGGGCGGGGCCAGGTGACACACCTCCTACCTTGGGCTCCTTTGGCTTCATTGGGATGATGTTGAGTGGGCGGGGCCCAAGGATCTGTCCACCAGTGCCGGGAGGGCTGGGTTATGGGCGTGGCTGATTCGACCCCGCCTCCTGACGGCCCGCCCCACCCTGCCCCAGGGATGACCGGGATCCTACTGTGCGCGGCCGGGCTGCCAGTGTGCCTGACGCGCGCCCCGAAGCCCATCCTGCACCCGCCACCCGTGAGCAAAAGCGACGTCAAGCCGGTGCCCGGCGTGCCTGGCGTGTGCCGCAAGACTAAGAAAAAGCACCTCAAGAAGAGTAGGCCTTCTGCCACCTTTGGACCCCTGAACCCCGATGTGCACTTAGGCCTTGCCACCTCCGCTACAATCCCTCAAATCACCGCTTTCCCTCAGCCCATCCTTCGCTCACTCCCACTGCAGTAACCCTAGCAACCCTTGACATCTGACCCCAGGCCCCAGACCCCATCGCAGGCCTCGCCCTCAGGGGTAGACCCCCGGTGCCTCAAACCTGTGTTCTTACCTGTGTCCCCGCAGGTAAGAATCCCGAGGATGTGGTTCGAAGGTACATGCAGAAGGTGAAAAACCCCCCTGACGAGGTGAGTCCCCGGGGAGGGCCCACATCTGGGACCCCAGCCTTCGCCCCCCAGCACGGTTTTCTCGGGATTCCAGGCACTGCAGACTTCTCCTTCCTGCCTCTCCCTGACCCTGCATTTGCTTTACGGGTTCTCCGGCTTAAGTTTAATAGAAGCGCATATATCAACCTTTTTTTCTTTTTGAAGGTACTGGGGATTGAACCCAGAGCCTTGGAACTAAGTAAGCTACATACATCCTCAACCCTTTCTTTTTGAGACAGCATCTTGCTAAGTCACTAAATTGCCCGGGCTAGGCTCTAGTTTGCAACCCTCCTGCCTCAGCCCCCCAGGATGCTGGGATTACAGGCGTGCACCACCACACTGGGCTACACTGATTGATCTCTTGATGATCGACAGCTTCATGTCACATTTTTACCGTACTTTCCACTACATGCTTTTAGGTTTTGCTTTTGAGTTTAGCCTTTATCCATCTGGAGGAAGTGGGGTGCGAGGGAGCCATCTCTTCCTCTGGGATGTCTCAGAGTTCAGTACGCAGAGAGTGTGCTCTCTCTCCCTTTGCAACTTGGGTGCCCAGAGGGGATGATCTGCTGTCTGAGGTGGGTAGAAGCCCAACCCCCACGCAGAGCCCGCGCTGACCTGGGCGTGTCCCCTCCCTGCCCCCTGCAGGACTGCACCATCTGTATGGAGCGGCTGGTCACAGCATCGGGCTACGAGGGTGTGCTTCGCCACAAGGGCGTACGGCCCGAGCTGGTGGGGCGCCTGGGCCGCTGCGGCCACATGTACCACCTGCTGTGCCTCGTGGCCATGTACTCCAACGGCAACAAGGTGTGTGGTCGGGGCACAGGGGGGTGGGGTGGAGTGGGGCAGGGCCCCAGGACTCAGGGCAGCCTCCCCACCCAGGACGGCAGCCTGCAGTGCCCCACCTGCAAAGCTATCTATGGGGAGAAGACAGGGACACAGCCGCCCGGGAAGATGGAGTTCCACCTCATCCCCCACTCCCTGCCGGGCTTCTCGGACACCCAGACCATCCGCATCGTCTACGACATCCCCACGGGCATCCAGGTGCTGGCGCCCCTGCTGGCCGGTCTGGGTCCCGACCCAACTCCTCCGCGCCCTCCAGGGCCCACAACTGCCTGGGGCTCATACCCTGCTGCCTCCCACAGGGGCCTGAGCACCCCAATCCTGGGAAGAAGTTCACGGCCAGAGGCTTCCCGCGCCACTGCTATCTGCCCAACAATGAGAAGGGCCGGAAGGTGGGTGCCGGTGAGGAGGCAGGGGGGTGGGCACCGCCCTGCCCCTTGGGCCCCGGAGCCCTTGTTGTCCTCATCCCTCCGCTCCTCCTCTTCCCCCAACCAGCACCCGGGCAGCAGCATACCCCACAGCAGCACCGTCACCTTCACACGCCTCATCCTTTCACCAGCCCGCTGAGCTCTAGCCCTTGACCCCACTTTACAGATAAAGGCAGCTTTAGACACGGCGAGTAACACGGCCAAGTCACACAGCCACTAAGTGGCAGAGTTGGGATTTGAACCCAAGCAGTCCAAGCCTTCACACTATCGACTGTCTGCTTTTACCTTGTTTTTGTTTTTCAAAAGAAGCCAGAGGGGCTGGGGATTCAGCTCAGCAGCACAGCGCCTGCCTGGCAAGCGCAAGGTCGTGAGTTTGATTCCCGGTATCAGAAAAAAAAACAAAAACAAACAAACAAACAAAATCAAAAGAAGCCAGAAATTTAGATTTTCATGTGAAATCTCTAGGGTTTGTTTTTGTTTTTTTTAATATTGGCAACTAATTCACAAAGTGCCTGTTTTAATGCAGCGTGGGGTCCATCCAAGCACCCTTCCTTCACCCCGGAAGAGACAGATGCTTCGGGAACAGCTTTTACTGAGAGAGCTGTGGGGCGGGGAGGGCAGGCCAGGAAACACAAACAGGAAGGAAGTGGCGGAGCCGGGCATGCTTCGTAGGTGCCGGCTCGGGCTGGCTGCAGGCAGGGCACAGGGTGGGCCGGGGGCTGCCTGTGACCTGTGCCCGCCCCCAGGTGCTTCGGCTGCTCATCACGGCCTGGGAGCGGAGGCTCATCTTCACCATCGGCACGTCCAACACCACGGGCGAGTCGGACACCGTGGTGTGGAACGAGATTCACCACAAGACCGAGTTCGGATCCAACCTCACGGGCCATGGCTACCCGGACGCCAGCTACCTAGACAACGTGCTGGCCGAGCTCACGGCCCAGGGTGTGTCCGAGGCTGTGGCCAAGGCCTGAGGCCCGAGTCTGCACACCTGCCCTCCTGCTTTGCCCCTGGTCCGGCACACGCCTCCCTCTACCGGGTGTGACCTGGTGGCCCCAGTTCAGGGCTGGGGAGGAGCCTGCACAAGGAGCCGGGAGCGTCCCGGGGATTTGCTTGGTGGCAGTTGGGATACGGGAGGCTGCCAGGCCTGTTGGCTGTGACCCGTAGCTCCCTGAGAGGGCCGCAGAGAGAAGACCGGAAACCACAGCAGCGACCTCCCTACACAAGACAGCGACCCACCCCTCACACACAAACACGCGTCCTGGTGAACACATGCACGCACACCCACGTGCCTCCACACTCCCCCACCGGCCGGGGGAGAAGAGAAAGAGACCCCATCTGTGTCCCCACCACCTCTGTACAGGTTTGTCCGCACCTGGGACTCAGGGTGAGCACTGAGGGCCTCCAAGGCTCTGGGGGATAGAGAACTTGGGGAGTGTGGTCTCCCCATACTCACCCCCTGCTTCATCTCTGCCCCCGTGGGGGAAGCCCCCAGACCACTGCAGTTTTACCCAGGGTGGGCCAGCGCGCACAGGGATGCAAGGCGTCTTATTTTGCGCTGTCTGTCTCTTCATCCTTTGGGGACCCTGGCTTCCTCCTCCCGCCCCCTCTCCAGGCCTTATGTCTATCCCACACGAAGGCACTCTTCTTCTGCCCCCTTCCCATCCTCTCCACCAGGTCCTCCCAACTTTGAGATCCAAAGGCTGTCGCTTCTGCTTTCAGGAGCAAGAAGAGGAGGCCTAGGTCAGGCCGGCTTGTTGAAAGGGAGAGAGGACAGCAAAGAGTTAATTCCCCTCTCCTGGGGAGTGGGCAGTAGGGTGGCGAATTGTCTCTAGCCAACCAGGGGCCTGTTGCCCAGGCAACTCACCAGCTCCGCCTCTGTCGATTGGCTGTCCCAGTGGAAGTCAGCCAAGATTTAAAGGGATGCCAGCGATTGCGCTTTTGAAAAACCGTACCAGTCCCACTGTGGGTGGAGAAATAAATGGTCTTTCTCCTCCTCACTCCAGTCTGTTCCTGCCAAAAGGGCTGAGTGGCTGTGTCCTGAGGGGCCTCGGGGAACGTGGGAAATATAGCTGCGAAAGAAGGGCACCCTCCAGGCCATAGCTTGGGGCCGCTGGAGAGGAAGGTCCCTAATTCTCCTGTCCTGGAGCAGAAAGGGAGAGTGACTGAGGGAGAGGCTCTCACTCCTGGGCCCCTGAACTCCGAGTGGCCTGCTCTATAACAGCAGCACAAGGGAATGCACACACCTGCTCTCCAACACAGTGACCAGAGACGGGGGCTCGGGCCGGGAGCACCTGGGCAGGGTCTGTCCAGGGACAGAGAGTGCAGAGCCCAGGCTCTACAAGCCGCAGGAGTGAAAGTCTGCCTTGCTCTGGCCGGGTTCTGGGGCTGCTGTGGCCAAGGCTGTGGGTCCGAGCGACCCCTGCTGGCCAGATGTGGGATCGCGCCGTGTCTTCCAGGGTGCACTTAAGGGCAGCCAGGCTGCCCTGAACGTCCCGTTGTGTCCTCCCGGCTCCGTTACACAAAACAGGGAGAAGTCCTTAGAGATCCTTTAAGATCTGCCAGTTGGGTGTCCCCAAAGATAGTCTGTGGCTCATTCCCCAAATGTCACCTCAAATAATGTAGAAACTTGCCCACTGCCCCGGGGCGAGCTATATATTCCCCGGGGAACTGATTGAAAACCCCGACTCCTGTCCCTGCAAACCCACAGACTCTGAGTCAGTCAGTGGCCGGGTGCCGCCCGGGAATCTATTCCCAGCAGATGGGGTCTGAATCTGAATATCTGATCCCAGAAGCTTGGGGTTGGGCCCTTGGCTGTGATTACAAAAGGATCAGTGAGGTTAGAGGATTTGAAGACACAGAAGCAGGAAGGGCTGGGGGCATTTAGTGCCCATCTGGGCAAAAGGGCCACATGGGGACTGGGGTTTCAGGTATAGCTGTATCCAGTCGCTCTGGGCCAGGCTGGCTTTGTAGATGTGGGTAGAGGCTCATCTGGTGGAGCAGAGACTCCAGGCTTGGACAATTGGGTTCCTCATCACACAAGGTGAAATTCATTCAGTGCAACTCCGGCCGGCCACGGGGCTTCCATACCCCACCTGGACTGGGGCACACAGGACGGGGCTCGTCTCTGGGAGCTTCAAAGCCACAGCATCACAAAGGGACAGGACGGCCTCAAGGAGACTCCTGCACCAGGGGACGTCGAGGCGGGCCCATGGCTGTCAGCTCCTTTGCAGCAGGATCTGTGGCTTCCTCAGGACCCCCAGGGGCCTGGGGCCACCTTCCCCTGGCCCTGCCACTGGAATTCCTCGTGGGCACGATCCAGGTCTTCCAGCACCTCCAGCAGGCGGGCAGCTGCTGCTTTCTGCCGGGCCAGAGCCTCCGGGCAGGACCCTGGGGGGACACAGGGGTCACTGCATCTCAGGTCATCAGGGCAGCAGCTAGCACCTGAACCCAGGGCCTCTCAGGCTGCGGACTGGGCTCATGCCCTGAAAATCCCCCAAAGTACTAGCACCCCCATAGCCCCAGAAGGGCCTGGTAATGGGAGAGTGGACGGGTAGACACGGGCTGCCCCCAGCAAGCTGCAGGGAAAAGAAGGGCACCTCCCTTACCCTGTCCTGTGTCTGCCTCCGCAGCCACATCCGGGTTGGGCTCCTCCAGGGATTTCATCCTGGAAGTGGACAAGGAGAAAGACCAGACTGGTTTCTGAGTCCCAGTCCTGCCCCAGACCCAGAGGCGGCTTGCTGGCTGCAGGAGAAATTACAGGAGCCCCAGAGCACTGTTATCATCACCACAGCAAACAGCTTTAGTGTAGCAGCCGCTGCCCTAAGCATTTCATGTGTATTAACTCATTTAATGTTCACACAAGTACAAGGTAGGTAAGACAGATAATCACTAGACAGAAGGGGCTGGGGATTTAGCTCAGCGGCAAAAGCACCTGCCTGGCAAGCGCAAGGTCGTGAGTTCGGTTCCCGGTACCGGAGAAAAAAACAAACAAAAAAAAACACAAACAAAAAAAATCACTAGACAGAAACACAGAAGCTTGCCCGGTGGCACAGCGTATTAATAATCATTACTGTGTACCGAAAGGTCACTATGTGCCCAGTTACCTACAAAGGGCTGCATTAGTTCCTCTGATCCTCAGGCAGGTAGCATTATTATCCCCATTTTCTACAGGAGGAAACTGAGGCACAGAGAAGGCAAGCAACCTGCTCAAAGCTGCACAGCCAGCAGATGGCTCTCCCAGGATCTGAATGCAGGCAGGCCAGCTTCAGAACCCACTCAGCAATGGGCTGGGACAGATCCCCCACTAAACAACAGTGATCTTAAGGCCAGGAGGGAAAGGGACCCAGTTGTCACAGGGCAAGCTCAGGGGGCCAGGGTTTTACGTGAATTGTGTCCGTGTCCCTGGAGCCCGGGTGACATGATTGTGTCTCTGGAGCCCAGGGGAAGGCTCAGTTCTGCAGCAGGACACAAGGAGGATGCTCCCCAAGGTCCCCAGGCCGCCCCTCCCAGCGGTCACTCGAAGTGGGGCCAAGCGGGGATGCACACCTGAGCTGGTCCCGCCCCAGAAGCAGCTGCCTGTAGACCGTCTGGGCCTCAGCGTCAGGGTCCAGCGGGTCGCTCCAGTCCCCCAGGGTCACGGCCGCGTGTGTGCGGCTGCAGCCAGCAGCTGCGGGAACAGGACGCGGTTGTGGGGATCTCCCCCGTCCCCCAACGGACACCACACTGTCCATGCCCCGCCCTGCAGCCTGGAAGGTCCCTCCTGAGCCCCCAATGTCCCTGGCACGGGCCTCCGCTCTCCCTGCCTCCGAGGCTGCTCCCCAGACCCCGGCCGTGACAGTGCAGCCCTCTTTGAGAGTGGGCACAGGACGGGCCCTGAAAAAGCACCCACTTCACGAGCACGTGAACTCCCTTACCCTCGCGGGACCCTACAAAGCAGGCAGCAGCGTCAGTCCCATCTCAGGACAGCAAGGCTGGGGAACCTGCCCACGGTTGCACAGCCCACCCAGGCGGAAGTGAGCCCTGAGGGGTGCGGGGGCAGAGCCTGCTGGCGGCCCCGCCCCTCACCTGAGCGCTCGGCCTGGAGGCAGCAGGTCCAACGCCCCCCTCGGAAGGCCCCGGGGTGGCAGGCAGCCAGCTTGTCCTGGTTGGGAGCGCTGGCTTTGCGCAGGGCCGACAGCCACTGGTTGAGCTCATTCACGTTCTGCAACGGGGTGCGGCAGTCGGGAGCTGGGCTGACCCCCGCGGCCGCCCCCGCCCTCCTCGCGGGCCTCACCTTGCACTGGAGGTAGGTGGTGTGCAGCTTCCCCGAGCCGTCCCGCGTCACCACCTGCATCACGTGCGGCAGCTGGAAGGCGCCCTCGTCCACGCGCTCCACAGCGCAGATGTGCGGCACCGGGATGGAGGTGTGAACCTGGGGACAGGTTTGTCTCTGCAGGCGGCTGGGGACCAGGGACAGCTTCCCCATGGAGTGCATCGGGTGGAGGCCCTCCGGGCAGGGACGGTCAGCTCCGTGTGTGGTGTGTGTGTGTGTGTGTGTGTGTGTGAGAGAGAGAGAGAGAGAGAGAGAGAGAGTGCACGCGCCTGTGCCCTGCATCCCCAGTCCTGCCCCAGCACTGCCTGACTGAGGCACTCGGCTTCTCTGGGTGTTGGTTTCTTCCATCACCATCACCACCACCACCACCATCACCACCACCACCACCACCTCCATCACCACCACCACCATCACCATCACCATCACCATAACAACTGCTTCCACAGCACGTGCCCTAAGCACTTCCCATTTACCCATGTATTTCATCAGCCCAACAACCTCCTCTGGTTGGGTGTGTCATTCTCCCAGCCTGCAGGTGAAAAGGCTGGGGAGAAGAAGCCAGTGACCCTACCAAGGTCACTCAGCCCACGGAGCCGGACTGGACCCCAGGGTGCTGATGCTCGGAATCGGCTGTGCTGATGAACAGAAGAGCAGCGAGGCCCTGGCTGAGGCCACTATGGCTGTGTCCCAGCTGCACGCAGGAACGGGGCTCAGCGGGGTCTGCGTTGTGCCGGTGGGGATGCCAGCCCCGGAGACACGCGTGTCCCTGTCTGGCTTATGTCGTCCCCAGGACTGACCCTGGCACATAGGAGGCTGTCGGTAGATGTTTGCTGAGTGAATGAATGAGTGAGTGCATGAGGAGTGGATGCCTAGACCTGCGTGCACACAGCTGGGCGCCCCCAAGGAGTCTAGACGACACACCTGCTCCCGTCCTGCGGCGCCCTGGCCCCCAGCTGGAGCACAGCCAGAGTTGCTCAGTTGCTGTGGTACTTTGGAAAGCAGTCCCTGCCCCTGCCTCAGTTTCCCCTAGGGTACAGAGATGCAGCTGTGAGGGAGGCCACCGCGGGAGCGCCCTCCTGCAGCGGGAGCTTACCTGGCACTCAGGGCCCTTGGCATAGGACAGTGTCTCCCCGCTGAGCCGGAAGTAGCGCTTCTTAAAGGCGAAGCACGTGGCCAGGCCGCCGGGCTCCTCCTTGCGCTTCAGCAGGAAGCCTTCTCGGACAGTCGCCGAGGGCGGCACCAGGGCCCTGGCGGGGCCACCAGCCTCTGGGGAGCAGGGAAGAAGGTGGGGAATGGCGAGCCAGGGAGGAGCACTGGAATTTGAACTCCACCCCCTTGCCGCCTGGGCAGCAGGCAGGCCTGGTCCTTACCCAACCCCTGGGGTGGACAGGTGGCTCCGTGCCTCCACAGGCTACTCCCAAAGGGCTTAGGCCCAGCCGTGCCCGGCACTATCCTGACCCACAAAGGGACCCCACGACCTTTTCTGCACTTCACCCAGGTCAAAGTGGAAGTCCCACCCACACCTGCCATTGAGCCCCCCACCTCTTCTCCACCCCCTTGTTCACTCTTCTTTGCTGGCCTGCTCCTGTTGCGCTCTATTCCTACCTCAGGGCCTTTGCACCTGCTCTGCCCCACCTGAATGAAGCTCCTGCCAAGGTGCTCCGAGCCTCCCTCCCTTTCCAACAT